TTCTAGTGTCCAAGTTCAAGCTTTGCCTGAACTTGATTGGCATTTATGAAGAATGATTTTGCCTATTGGGTTTTTTTGCGGAGAAGGTGGAGCAAATTTACTATATATAAACCGAAATTAGGCCAAGGTGGAGATTTGTAATATGGCCAAATTTTCATGACATTTGCCATGACATAATATACATTATAACAAATTTGTGGTTCATGACATTTGTCATGACATAATATCCATTATAACAAATTTGTGGATCATGACATTTGCCATGACATAATATCCATTATTAGGCCAAGGATTTCTTGCTATAAATAGAGGAGTTTCTCCTCATTTGTAAACACACCAATTCAAGAGATTTTTACTCTTGTCTTTCTTTCTCCTCCTTTATTTCATTATAGAGTATTTTGGAAGAGAGTGAGTGTTGGGAAACACTTGTGTGAACCTTTTCTTTGGAGTGATCTTGTGAGGTTATTCTCTTGGGGTATTTGGGATTAATTAGAGTATTTACTCTAATTTTGTACTCTCTTTTGTACTCTTGTTGGTATAGTGAAATTGCTTCTCTCCGCTTGTGGACGTAGGTCACCTTGACCGAACCACGTTAAATTTGTGTCTTCTTTATATTCTTTAATTGCCGTTATTATCACCTTCCATTATCTTTGTTATTATCATTATATCGTTGGTTGGCTAAATTCTGCACTACCCGGGTTCCCGATCCTAACAAATATAACTTAAAGTCAATTCCATATATGTGCACCATATTTAGTGTGGACGATATCTGATTGTGCAAATATTTTTTAAACATCAGTGAAATTTAAACTCGTGTGAGAACATCTCCCACCTCCCTAGACTTGATGGGCTAACTTTCTGTTTAAGTGGAAGCAAATGATAATAGCAAAGTGACCTACCTGTAGGAGTGGTTATCTGCTTCTCAGTAAAAGGAAGATGACCAAGACCATGCTCCACAACCTCAAACATGAGTAAAAAGAACGTGTTTCACTACATGGTTGAAAGAGAATTCATTGACATAAGATAAAACGATCATACCAATCGTATAAGGCGGTCAGCATAAAAAACAAAGTCATGCTTGGTTGTTTTTGCATTTCGTACAAGCGTGTGCATCCCACGCATCTAGCAAAAGGGCAAATATTAAGGAACTTGTTCACCTTTGATCTTCAAGAATGTTGAAGCACAGGTCAAGCAATTTACCATACCCGTACTTGAACTGAAATAGGATCAAGAAGAGAATCTGAAGAGATGCACACCTGAAATGTGGAATGTATAACAAATACATTTGAATATATTTTGCAAAGGTGGTGCTGTCCAAGCTTTGTACGAATATGTTGAACTATTAAGTCGATTGCAACATCATTATCTGCTCCTCGTGGAATTATTACATCAGCATATTTCTTTGTTGGATGAATGAAGTCCTCAAAACCAGGTTTAACATATTTTGCATACTGCATGTCAGATAGCACAGTCAGCTTGAAAAATTTAAACTTTCCAAACAAATCAAAGATTAGATTACTAATGAATCAAGAGATACAGAACCCAATGTATGGTGAGTCATCAAAAAGGTCACTGCAACCTAATGTCGAATTGGTAAACACAGAGCAGTATTCTGTTTATATGGCACGTACAATAAATAGTTTAACTAGGAGAACAGACCCTATTGACATCCAATTTGGTAACATAGGTAAATTACAGGACCATATAGCAGATTGCCCGTGTAATTAACGGTCCAAAAGAACCTCATTATACAACATTCCTTAACCTTTGACCTGTGTGACGCAGTGCATGAGGAACTACTAAAGAAGCACGGCTAATTTCCATTACGATGTACATTAATTTCTCATGAATTTTACTGATACTGTAAAGAATATTTACACTTTTAGCAGATTTTAACCTATTGTAGCAGATAAACTGTCTTATTTTCCAGGTTACTAAACCAAAAAGGAGTCTCAAGTGAAAAAGAACTGCTAACGTGGTAACCTGCCATACAATTTAGGAGCAACAGAGAATCCATAAAGGAGCATTAAGTGCAAAAAAAAAATGCTAACTTGGTCTAGCACGTATTGGATGTTTCTGTTCCTCTCAACAGTATCTCGTCGTATCCTCCTGGCCAGCCGCACATCAGAGTCTGCGTTCATGGGTTTATTAACAGTTTAGGGAGCAATATGGAAGATTGAAAATATGTCCTAAAGGGATTTCAAATCAGAGAATTTGATTTCCAATTTCAAAAGCTAGAGTAAGGGTAAAGAGTGAACCACAAAATATCAAGTAAGCAGCTGTCTTGTTTCTCTTTCCTGTTTGGGGATAAGCGAGGGATGTTAAGGGCCAATAGAGAAGAACCTGAATCAACAAAGATCTTCATGTTCATGATTTCACGTACACGAGGATCATGTAGAATAAGAATTCCATCTAAAATGATGACATCTGAGGGATTGACCTGCATTTGATTACGAAATGTGCTAGAGAATCATCTGCGTTTGAAGTTTGGAACTTTAAAGTAAAGCTGTAAAAGCAAAATACAAAAGCCTATAATAATTGAAAATACTGTATGCTGATACATCTAACTGACTCCAGCTGCTTCAGCAATCATGATTGAACTGTGAACTGTTGCATTGTTATGGATTTTCCATCTTTTTTATTAGACTCAAAGTATGGTTTTCCTATGTGTTATACAGCTCCCATCATTTAGAAGTAGAAAACAGCAGCATCAAACAGTATATATACTGCAAGCCATGTAATCAGGAGGTAACTTATTGCTAAGATGTACAAATTCACAGCCATCAGATAGCAGTTCTAAAATCTGACTGGTACTTGATTCATGATTAGAAGCTTTGCAGTAATGTCAGATTGCTTAAGAAGAACTATACAACTCAAATCAGTGGCCAAGAAGATAAAATTTATTACCACACGGGCTGCTTCAATGCTTCTATGGCTCTTGAAATCATAATTGGGGATGCTAATTGCTTGTCCATGTTTTAATTTTTCCATACATGATAGCAGAAGCTCAGTGTTAAAGGCATCTGAAAAAGAATGCATGATGTAAACGGGCAAGTGACAGATAGAGAACTTATTCGAGCAATATTTACAATCTAGTTTGAAACCTCAAACATCAATTCCTTACCAGGATGATCAAAGTTGTAGTCGTGAACTTTCTCTAACTGCTCTGCAGTTAATGGATGATAAAATGCTTCCTGAAAGTTGAAATTAGGTTGATCAAGCGTTAGAAGATGATGAAAAGTTACATATAACAAAAGAATGAAAACTTTCCAGAATACCAATTGTTTACAGTTGAAAGACATATAAATATGATTTAATGGGACATCAAGAGGTAATTTTCAGATTACAAAGTGAGAGTGCTTATGAATACCAAACAGTAGTAGCAGAAAAAGAAGTGAGCAAGATATTACTTGATTGATTAGTACGACGCGTTGATTCTGAAGCTGTGACATAATCATATTGCAAACAGTTGTTTTGCCAGATGCAGTCCCTCCAGCAACACCTTCACAATTTTAATCATTTTAAATGATCATAAGAAACGCATGGATAGAAATTAAATACTAGTAATCGGACATAAAGATTCTCAGGCATACAAGGGTCAATATCAGCTTATTTTAATCGATATCAATCAATCAACTTTACATCAGTCCCAAACTAGTTGTGCTCGGGTACATGAATTCTCTTGTATCCATCTATTTGAGCTATGGACATTAGCTTATTTGCAGATTTAACTGCAAGGAAGGAGAAGCCAAGCTCTCCCATCTTTTATTTCTCATCGAATCATGTTACTTAACTACAGGAACAAAAAAAAAATTCTTCTTTCTCCTTTGGCCCTTTCAATTCCTTCATAGCACTTAATATAGAGTAGGCCTATCCAATCAACGCATTCCTACGTGAAAAGAAAATGCAATCGTGCGTGTGTGTGTGTTTAGTTCCAAGTCCAAGATAGTAGACACGAGGGTCATAGCCAGATGCACCGTACACTTGATGGATTTTTCTGATGGTGGATAGGTATACATGTGAAACATTACTTAAACGTCAATACATATTAGTGCTGAAACCATACTTCAAAACTACAATCTATTCAATGTAAGAACCATAAAGGTTGAATCCATCAAATTTAAATCCTGAATCTGAGAGGGTTGAGCCTTACCAATAACGAAAGGTACCTTCAACGGCACTTGTGCAGTGTCCGGGGCAGCATTTGATTGAAGCGAAAAGTGATTTTCGACACTGCTCTTCCAAGCAGAGGCCATTTGAGAATCCATCGGGCTATCCTACATGAATAGAGGTCTCATTAATTAACTGGGGCATGCAAGTGGCATTTGTCATGGAAAAAATGAACGGAATTGATCTCTGAGTTTCTAATCCTATTGAAATTCAATTTAATCAATCAATCAACTATTCCAATTTCAAACTCTATCTATATGATCTTTCTCAAGTCCAGAAAAGAAAGATGGTTGAATCTTCATTGTTTTTTCTTTTTCTCTTCAAATTATGAAGTCTACATGGAGATTGTTACACGGTCTAAAAACGATATCCTGAAGAATTTCTAATCCAACGGGTAAAAATTATGGCATAGGTGACAATGAAAAAACAAATGTACAGATGTATAAACGCTAGTTGTTGTCATATTGAAGGAATCTGAAATCATCTCAAAATGGAAATTTACGTACCTCCCGCTTAACGATAGGTGAAATTAGTATTCATTGGAGCTCTGTTGAGTGGCAATGGTATTGATAGAGAAGAGCGACGACTCTGTGTGGGTGCTCTTCTTATGGTTTGTGGTGAATTGAGGAAGAAGCAAACTGAATGAGCGGGAAAATCGCAATTGTTTTGGTCACCTATTTATCACTTGCATGTATTGTTTTGGATACCTATTTTTCATTTGCACGTCTTATTTTGGACAACTATTTATTATTTAGCATCTACAATTCTACATACCCTATATTAGAAAAGCTTGGCCACCAAATTTATGTTTCCAAACAAATAAAAGCATGACACGTTTCATTATTTTTACGAGAATTTAATTTTAACACTTATATATGCCCCATTTTGCCTCAAAGGGCTTTGGTCTAGCAATAAAATGTACCGATGGACAAAAATAAAAGGTTGGTACTTAAATGAAAAAGAATAAAGGGAGGGACCCATTATTCGTCAAGTTTTGAATCATACGCCACTAATTCTTAGAAATTTCTCGATTATAAAGAAAATATAAAGTTAAGGGTGCTTTGGCAATTTGTTATAGATGATTTTGATTACCGTATTTGAGATGTATACTCTTCTTGTCCAGAAAAGAATAACGTGGTGGAACTAGGTGAATGCACTTGTGTCTCGGTTTCTTATTTTTTTTACGTTGAAACTACATATTTGCAAAAACTAGATAAAATAAGATCACATTTTTATATTTAAAAACATTCAGAATATAGTTAATAAAAACGTATTTAAGGAAACAAAGTATTCCTAATTAGTAATAGTGTCATACATATTTTCTTCTATATGTAAACTTGGAGGAGGAAAAGTATATTGAAACTTGGAGTTCAATTTAAAGTGCTTCTGTAAAGCATCTAATATTTTTGTAAATAGATTGCAATGCAAATAAAGGAACATTACTTCAGATACTCGCACTTAGATATCCCAAAGAAAAGTACATAGGCAATCCAGATCAGATATAGCAAAAATGATACTTGTAACTAGAATAACCTTTTTGTACTGCGTAAATTATAACAGAGGGCAGATGCAATTGGAAATGATTTTCATTTAGAATAATAAAAACAAGAATGAACCTTCATATCAACAATTCAAAAATGTAACAACCCACTTTTCAATTTCTAGGGAATGTATAATTTTTTTAAGTTTTTATGGACCAAATTAACTACAAAATATGGCTGTAAAGAACATAACTCCAACCCCCCTCCCTCTGCAGATGTATATCAGAAGTTTGCACTTTTGCAGATAGTACACTGATCTTTTGTGATCAAACAGAGAACCGGAATCCAGCTTTCGTTCCTGAAACACACCGAATTTGCCAAACCAAAAATCAGTTAAAACTATTGAAAGATAGTCCCAACATTGTCATTGATGAAGTAGACACATATAACACATTGGCCATCAGGATGCCTCGGCCAGATCCTGGCAACGACTCGCTGCTACATTTTGAACAATGATCGAAATGAGGAGAACTGAATCACAAGTCCATTCGTGAAGAAAAAATACATACCAAAAAAGTATCATTAAATTGTAAATTTCTCCTTCCAAAGTTTCTTTCTTGTGATTAAAACTTTTTCTTCGTTCAAGGAGAGAGCATCGGTCCGCGGTTCTACCTCTGATGACCATCCATCCCATTTTAGTGCAGTCAAGAATTTTCTTACAGAGTTTATTATATGAGGCTTGTCCCTTATAATGACGACTCCTTCTGGCCGTAGCATGCGGTCCATCTCAATAAGCAGATCCTCAATGCTGCAGCCTCGATCTTCTGTCTCCGAGAGGATCATCCAGGCATGAAGTAGGTCATACGTACGTGGGTACGTTGAAAATGACTCACACCTAATTATATATGATAGTAAGTCCTCAGCAAATTGAAGGCACAAGTTAGAAGGAATATATTGCGAGACTATGACAAAAATGCTTCTATCTGTTTCCTCCTTGCTGTCCATACCATAGGCGTGACCTACTTTCTAAATTGAGTTATTTCAAAAGATTGACCTTTTCATAGATGTCTATATGTGATCTTTACCTCTTTCATAGATGTTAAGCACAAAATAATAGTCTTGTGTTATTCAGATATTGATATGAAACATTTTCCTTAAACTAGTACCTCTTTGACTAAATCCAATCAATATTTTCACAATGTGGCATGTAACACAATTAATATTTCACTGCACCTGGAAGGTCGTGGAAATATAGGCAGAAGAGTTGTACATTTACATAAAAGGACGAACAAATTCATTATTATGACAAAAACATCATGATATAAGCTACAAAACTATTTATTACTGCAACCAAATTCTCATGGTAGTTATGAATAGTCTCCTTTTCTTGGAAAGCACTGTTTACACAAGGCCTTCCTGCTGTTAGTTATTAGTTCATAGGTATTAAGCTAATTGTGCTTCTGTTCTGCTTCATATGAAAACAAAAAGGAAGACATCACTTTTTAGGCTTTAAAAAGGAAAGACATACTAATCTTGGGATATCTACCAAAGGCTTCAGTTAATTGGCTGCTGGTAATAGGAAATATAATCATGGCTAATCAACATTGCGGAACGTGGCAATATAGATAGCAAGCAGGTGTATCACATTTTATACATTCTCATAGTGGAGCATACCTATAGCTAATCCTTCACATATAGCTTAAAGCCTGAGGCTTCCTGCCATAGTCATTTCATCAAAGTCAAAAGCAAAAGATAAGTAAAATGTTGAACTCTTTCTCGATTTCCATTTCGATCTGTTCCAAAGCTCCTATAGGTCCAACTTATATAAGTATACGTTATTTCATTTCTGTTTCACTGGAAGTTTAAAGTCAATAACAAATATACTGAGACTTTCTAGATGGCGGAAAAAGAGATACGAGTAAAGATAATCTATAAAGAAGAACATCAAGTCTTAACTGGGGAATGGGTATAAACTTAAGAAGAACAAAGAGGGATTAGCATATTTCATTCGCAGCTTCTTCATAATTTTTATTTTCAATTTTTTTTATCCACAAATTTAGGAATTATATAAAGTTCAAGCTCCTCTTCTGTAAATTTATAAAGAAAAAAAAAAGCTACACAAGTCACTGGTAATCTGCCAATTTCCAATGACTGATGTGCAAATAATCAGAAAGAAATCTGGATTTCAAAGAGCGCATAGTAGGCAGTTAGCAGTAGACTGACCATATGCCACAAAAGATTAGCAATAATTATGCTTGTCCATGGGAACAGGGAAAAGGGGTGCAAAGAGAACAATGTCCCAAAGAGTGGAAAGTGGCGCACCAGTCATGAACTGTTCCAATCAAGCCTCGATCATATATTGTTTTCATTCTTGATGACATGTTAACAGGAGCAACGTTCATCACCCAAATGTCCTTATCCTTTAGTGCAGCTGCAAACCCACCGAGGTTTGAGTTCATGTCCATGACATTCCTAAATGAGTTCTTTTGGCTAACAGACTTCATCTGCTTCCAATAGTCAATCACTCTGTCATGCCATACGCTCTGAAAAAGTATATACATATATTAATTAGCTAACAGACAAATTGAACAAGAAACAGAAACCATTTAATGAAATCCAACAGAAATTCTGTCTTCCCTCTGATTTTACAAACTTACAGTGTCTTTATGGAATTCCTCCAAAGTGACACCAATTTCCTCCAAGCGAGGTGGCGGAGCCGTAAGCCTCTTTGGCCAAGGTAATAGTCCAGTCCCTTTTTCCTTATGCACCTCTTCATTAACATATAATAGCAAGATTATCAGATTAAAGAAGATTATAAGTAAGCATAATCTCCTCGCACGAAGTAGATGAATTAGAATGACACGGCTACTAAGAATGACAGTTCTTTATGAGTTCTCACTTCTAAGATAGTCACACATTATGCACAGAGGAAAACAGGTTTTGACGCACAGTATAAGCAGAAAAGCTTATCAGAAGGATACATATGACCAGCCATTCAAGACTGGATTGAAAGAATATGAACCATTAGCAGTTGCCTACTCACTTGGTGAGTAAGGAGTGATGCAAGCCTTCATCGGTACGTTCCAAGCTTCATCGGGTTCATCACCAGACACGCACAGGGGAGGTTGGGTCCCCGGAGTTCTCTTCATATAACAGCTGTTACTCAGAGGTTTAGCCCATATCACAGTTTGGTCTCTCCTTGAAACAACTCTCCAACACATTCTTCTAAGTAGATCATACATAGCATTCCAAATTCTTCGATTCTCAGCATCATGCGCATAAGCTTCAGGTGAAGAGTACACAAAGTAACCACCCGGTCTGAGCAATCTGTCAAGTTCCAACAGAAGAATGCCGTCTCTTTGGAGCCAATCGATTCTACAACGGGAACAATGTGCCAACTCAAATGATCTGCTTGGATAAGGTAGTCTTTTGGTGCCCAAGACTCCTAGTGCAGATGGGATTCCCCTTTCTAATGCAAACTGTATTTGATTCTCGTGCACATCATTAGGAGCAAGCGACATAGCTATAATATCATGGGAAAGAAGATATGCTCCAAAGCTCGCAACACCACAGCCAACGTCAAGAACATTTCTTATGTTTCCACCATTGCTAAGTTTTTCACCAGGAAATTTGAGCATCTACACAAGTACATACAAAACCATTGAATTGTTATGCAACTATAAATGAATCATCCCGCAACAATAAGTAAAGAGTCGAGCTTAATTACCCCTGCAATTGCTGCAATGTATTTGTCCGCTCCATAATGGAAATGTGTTCCTCCACCAGGGAATTTTATTTTGTCTCCATCGACAACCATCCAATTTTGGTCCGACTTTTCCTGTGCAAGATGTGTATGGGGTATGTTTGCTTTCCACACTTGGTCTCTACTAGCTGGCCATCTAATTGGGATCTGGAAATCTAACAAGGACTTCGTTCGCATCAAAACTAAACACAAACAATAGCAATATCTAAAAGTAACCTCAGTAATGCACATGAGGACAAGTAGTAAACCAATTCAGGATCATGGTTTTTGTACATTTCCCTTAACAAAAGAACCTCAGCTAACTAGTGAAAAGCAATCAATTACTGACCTTGTAACCAACTGGAGGAGGGATAAGACAGTTGTAACGACGTTGAGGAGGGGGGCAATGC